TAATAGACAGTGCGCCTGGCCATTCTCAATCACTTTGCTATGAAAATGAAAATGTTGAGCTTGTATTTTTGCCTCCAAAATACAAATTGCTCTGCTCCCTGATTATGGCATTATTTGGTTTGTTTCAAAGCCACATATACCCACCTGGTATCTGATCACATTAGATCAGTAATTGGTGCAGACCCTACTCTGGACATAACCACAGTGCTGGGAATAATTCACTATTACTGATGCAATAACATTCACCAAAGCTACAATGGATGAATTTAAAATCAGAAACATAAATGTCTGCTGAAAGACTTATGAAGTGAATAATTTTAAAGTTTCTGGTATTGATGGAAGTTAGAAAATCATGTGGCATGACAAGTTGTTTGAGAAGGATTTGCCCACATGCTTGGTGAAGTGGAAGAACATGTTAAAAGCTACTGAGAAGTGTTATAAAGAACTTGGTAACTTACCTACAGAGGGAGATGAAGACTCTGGAGCAGAATCAGGCAATGTGGATATTATCTGAAACCAGTTTCCAAGTGTTCAAAATTCACAGACATTACATTATGAAAGAACAAAATATAGAGTATGATCCTCAAATGGAATGCAGCATTAAAAATTACTGTGATCAAGCAAAACTTGGACGAGTTAAAAAGGACAGCAACTTCTTTTTTCTTTTTTGGTGGTACTGGGTTTGAACTCAGGGCCTTGCACTTGTTTAGACAGGCACTCTCCCACTTAAGCCATGGTCCCCAAGACAGCACCCTCTGAATACAGTGCTTTTTCCAAAGTTTATGGCAAAAATCCATCAACTATTGAGGATTCCCAACCATTATGTGCTCCTGACATCCACCATCAACATCATCATGGTTTAATTTCAGGATCACTAGAAGCAGATGATCCTTCTGACATACTGTCACAAAATCAATAGTAGCTTAGAGTCATCTCACAATGCTACCCCGCCTCATCTGATCACACGGCATTGTAGGCATTTCACATCATCAAAGAGTAAGGGTGAATACAGTATGGGAGAGAGGGGAGGAGAGAGACAGAGAGAAGAACATTCATGTATGTAATTGTTATTAAATTGTTTTTTTTTAGTTATTGTTAATCTCTTACTGTGACTAATTTATAAATTAAGGTTTGTTATTTTTGTGGTACTGGGGCTTGAACTCAGGCCTCACCAGTCCTTTTTTTGTGATGGGTATTTTCGAGATAGGGTCTCAGGAACTATTTGCCTGGGCTGGCTTCGAATTCCAATCCTCCTAATCCTGCCTCCTGAGTAGCTAGGTTTACAGGCGTGAGCCACCAGTGCTCAGCTTAAATTTTTATCAGAGTAAATATGTGTAGGAAAAAACCCATATTATATATAGTTCAATACCATCCATGGTTACAGAAATCCCCGGGGTCTTGGAGTGCATGCCTTTGCAGATAAGGTCAGCTTTCTGACACTGTAACAAAATTTGAGACAGTCAACATATAAAGAGGAAAGATTTTGGTAAATGGTTTCAAAAGGTTTCAGTTCATGATCAGTTGGGTCTGTTGCTTTTGAGCCTGTGGACAGGCAATACAAACAGGTGAGCAAAGCTGCTCACCTCATAGGAGCTGGAAAGCAAAGAGAGAGAGAGAGAGAGAGAGAGAGAGTGAGAGAGAGAGAGAGAGAAGAGAGAGAGAGAGAGAGAGAGAGAAGGAAGGAGGGAGAGGAAAGGTCCATGTCCCAGCATTTCCACATTTCCTTTAAGGGCTTCCCCTCAATGACCTAACTTCCTTCTGCTAGACCCAGTATCCTCAAGAATCCATCACTTCCCAAAACTGCCACAGGCTGGAGACCAAGCCTCTAGCATATGGTCCTCTGAAAGACAGTTAAGGTCCAGACCTGTAATAATGAGCTGTGTGTGTTGATGCACTGTACTGAGTACTTTTCATGAGCCCTCATAGATTGATCTTTATGTGTTGTGTCAAATATTTTCATCTTCAAACTCGGTTGTCTGTATTATTGTTGAGTTACATGCGTTCTTCACGTTATACATTATTTTATTGTCAAGTATGCTTTGCAAACATTTCCTAGTCTGTGGCTTGCCTTTATTATGAAACAGAATCTTTTAAAAAGTTTGTAATTTTAATGAAGTCAAATTTTTTTTGTAGTTTGTATTTCTTATCTTTTAAGGAGCTTTTTGTTAAACCCAAGATAACTAAGATTTCTTCTATGTGTTCTTCTAAATAAAACTTTTTGATTCAGAAATATTTCTCTCAGCAATGTCTTATAGTTTTCAGTGTACAGGTCTTACATATGTCAAACTTATCCCTAAGTATTAATATTTTTTATGCTTTTATAAATGGTATTTTCAAATTCTGATTGTTCTTTGTTAGCACACAGAAACCAACTTGATACAATACTACTAAGGAGTTTCATGTAATTCTACTGATGCGCGTACCCTGTACTTTGAACCAATTTCACCCCTCTATATTTCTGAACCCCTCCCAATTCTTCCTTTTTCAAACAGTGTTTGGTGAGTTTGATTATACTGTCTTCATATGTCTGTACGTAATGTACTTTGATTCTTTTCACCTTTCAGTATACTTCAGCTCCCACAGGTTCCCCCTCCTCCAGAGAGTCCCTCTTTTATGTTCATGCCCATCATTATTTTTATCATCACTCCTTGGATCTAAATTCACAAATGACTGAAAATGTGATTTTTTTTTTTAAAGCTTGGCTTATATTGCTCAACATGATGATCTCCAGTTGCATCCATTTTTCCTGCAAATGAGATCTTATTTATGATTGTGTAATACTGCATGATATACATATGTATGTGTATATATATATGATATACATATATTATATATATATTTCTTTATCCATTCTTTGGTTATTGGGCACCTCAACTGATTCCAGTTTGGCCATTGT